GTGAAAATGAAAATTCAAGATATAGAAGGTATTCTACCGGAATGTCAAAGACTTATCTTTAATGGTATTGAATTAGATGACGGAAATGCACTCTGTGACTACTATGGAATGAGATATGAGTCAGTGTTACAATTAGCTCTTCAAGATCGTGGTGTAATTAGTTACTTTAGCTCTGATTCTTTGGATCCACAATGGAATTATGACTTTACGAATGTTAATGATAACGGAGCGACACATATGCGTGGAGGTATTCTGTATAAAAGGCCCTGTGGATGGAGACGCTTTGCTTTGAAGGTTACTAATAGATATGATAATGGTGATAATAAATGGCTCGGCACTGATAATATGGCCTGGCCAGTGTCTTATCATGGAACCAGTGAGCATAACGGAAAGTCAATCGCAGATGAAGGATTTTTATTAAGCAAAGGAAATCAATTTGATTTTCGACATGGAATTTATTCATCACCTGATGTGAATTTAGCGGAAAAGTACGCTCATGAATTTGATTATGAGGGTGTGAAATATGTTACGATTATTCAGAATCGGGTGAATCCTACGAATTTGCAGAAAATTCCGAAACAAACGGGGGATGATGAATATTGGGTTTCTATGAACGGTAATGATGTTAGACCATATGGAATCTGTATTAAAAAAACGTTAACGCAATAATGTTGTAATTTGTCAAATTTTACATCGTTTATCTGTTTTTATGAAAATAAATTAGAAAGATATCCAACATATTGTTAATTTTATATTTTATAATTGAGTTTATCTCGTATATTTGCAAAATCTTCTCCCTTCATAAATTTCACATTTCTATACTGTTGTTTTACGTACATGTAAAGACAGTATTCATTAACCTAATCTCGAGTGGTAGTCATGTGACTTACTCTAAATCTACATTAAAGACTTATTTCAACTAATCAGTGTCTTTAGATTATGTTATTGGTAGTATGATTAAATTTATAAAGCAATTTTCTCGTAAGTGCATACTGTACATTATCTTACATTAGCATGCTGACAAAACTTTTGGAATTTTGGAAGTGCGAAGACGGATTGACCGAAATTCCATTGTTTCTATTTTAATCTTATTACAGAAATCCAAAAACTGAATTTTTCTAAATTAGGCGTACGTACAGTACGTACGTATAAAAAAAAAAATTTCAAAATATTCTCAGCTTGATCAACAAAGCATTTGCCGTATTTTATTGTGATCCAACTCACGGATTTAAACCGGCTTCACATAACACAAGTCGAGCCGTTAGCTAAACCGATCGACTCAAATTTCAAGTTTATGAGAACAGCTATAGCGATATCCCTCACTCAAATTAATAATATAATTGCTGAATATTTTTGTTATGGTAGTCAGTTGTTCGTCAGGATTTTTCACTCATAATATGTTATTTTTATTTGCTTCCCTTTCCTCCTTGCGGCATAAATTAGTAACTGTAATTTATTGCCGGACACTATTGTCCGAATTACTTGCCAAATATAGGCTGCAATGGACTATTTAGGGCACAATGAATTTAAGATCTTATATACGTACGTACGTACATATGTACTTGCATATTATAATTGATTATATTTGGCATGCTTATTCTCAGGCTCACGCTACGTATACGTATGCTGATCGTATAATTATGAAGCCTAATAAAACTTTTATTTGCACCAATCAATCTTTTCAAATTATAATTATAATTTTTTTTTTTATCTTCAATTTTTTAAAACCATGAGTTTGACTGTAAGTCGGCAAATAAAATCATTTCTTGACACGGAAATTGCCACGTATAAAAGAAATCAATTTGAACGGCACCTGAAATCTGCTAAAAATGATGATTCCGATGGACAATATAATCTCGGATATTGTTATCATCATGGTATAGGCACTGTTAAGGATGAAAAGAAAGCATTTAAGTGGTATTTGAAGTCTGCTGAAAGCGGAAATTTCAATGGAAAATGTAATCTCGGATATTGTTATCAATACGGTGTAGGTACTGTCAAAGATGAAAAGAAAGCAGTTGAATGGTATCTAAAATCTGCCGAAGGCGGAAATTCTGTCGGTCAATTCAATCTGGGTTATTGTTATCAATATGGTGCAGGCATCATAAAGGATGAAAAAAGAGCATTTGAATGGTATTTTAAACATTTTAAAGAGGATAATTATAATCATCAATTTGGTAAAAACAAGTCTGAAGACGAGAAAAAGATATTTGAATTATCTTTGAAAACCCTAAAAGAGAAAAAAATTCAAATGGGCAATACAATGTCGGATATTGTTATGAGTATGGCAAAGGTGTTGCTAAAGATGGTATTTAAAATCTGTAGAAGGCGGTAATTCTGATGGACAATGTAAAATCGGATACCGTTATCAAAGTGGCATAGGGACTGCGAAGAATGAACAGAAAGCATTCGAATGGTATTTAAAATCTGCAGAGGGTGATAATTCTGATGGACAATATAATCTAGGACACTGTTATCAATTTGGTATAGGGACTGCGAAGAATGAACAGAAAGCATTCGAGTGGTATATAAAATCTGCAGAGGGTGATAATTCTGACAGTCAATATAATCTAGGACACTGTCATCAATTTGGTATAGGGACTGCGAAGAATGAACAGAAAGCATTCGAGTGGTATTTAAAATCTGCAGAGGGTGGTAATTCTGACGGACAATATAATCTAGGACGCTGTTATCAATTTGGTATAGGGACTGTGAAGAATGAACAGAAAGCATTCGAGTGGTAATTAAAATCTGCAGAGGGTGATAATTCTGACGGGCAATATAATCTAGGACGCTGTTATCAATTTGGTATAGGGACTGCGAAGAATGAACAGAAAGCATTCGAGTGTTATTTAAAATCTGCAGAGGGTGATAATTCTGACGGGCAATATAATCTAGGATGCTGTTATCAATTTGGTATAGGGACTGTGAAGAATGAACAGAAAGCATTCGAGCGGTTAAAATCTGCTGAAAACGATAATTTTAATGGTCAATTCATTATTGGCTGGTGTTATCAAAATAACATACACGTCGATAAGGATGAACAGAAAGCGTTTGAATGGTATTTGAAATCTGCAAATAAAGGACATTCTATTGGGCAAAATAATATTGGATGGTGTTATCATTACGGTATCGGAACTAACACAAATCATGCAGAAGCATTCAAATTGTACTCTAAATCTGCTGAAGGATGATGTTTTATTGGACAAAATAGTCTTGGAAGATGCTATCAAAATGGCATAGGCATAGCAGTTGATGAGACAAGAAGGCGTGAATGGCACGTAAAATCCCTCGTGGGAGGTAACCGAAATGCATCTTGGATCGCATTTGCTGATTCATATGATCAAAATTATATAGGTAGTATATGTTATTATATAATTAGTAATTTCAACCTATATTTATTGTAAATTAATTTATTTCTTTTTAAGAACATCCTATACAGAAACATATATGCGACACATCAGATTATCACGTAGACACGACTTTAACAAATACAAGAGTGACTCTTCTTTCGCCTAGTGATCTTTGTTATGTTCATATTGCACAAAAATTCTTTTCAGGGTTGCCTAGAGCTATGATCAAAGGAATTTTGAGAATTGAAATGCCTTATAATATCGTAAAACCGCACTTAGATTTGAAAATGCAAATGTCTAATGCGGCTAACGGTGCAAATGTTACATATTCTATGCATCATGGGACCTATTCTTCATGCGATGTAATGAATATTTTAACCAACTTAACACCGAACTGTTCCTCTAACTGTGGCGTTTGTGGTATTCTGAGAGAAGGCAACAAAATGAGGCATTCCAGATCAGGTCCTGGTAGAATGTGGTTCGCCAGTGATCCTTGTACTTCATTGGGCTATTGCAGAAATCAGGCAATTAAAGTTATGTTTTGTGTCGATATATTATATAATACCTTCAATGATATTATAATAATTGAAAAAGATGAGGTATGGATGCTTTATTTGAATTAATTGTTATTTCCTTAGTATACGCTTTTAACTGAGTTAATGAATTTTTCAGGCATCTTTACCTAGATTTTTAATAATATTTACGACGTAAAATTTAAAATTGATATAATCGATAATCAGTCGAAGAAACTAGCACAATGATTTGGATTTAATGATTTAACAGATTATTGATTTTCTCTTCAATTATACAGTAAATATGTTATATTAGGTCTTATAACATAGAATAATTAATAGTTTAGTTTATCTCGAATAAAAGTTTTGTTTGAATCAAAGAATTGCAAAATTTCTGACTGCAGGATGAAGTCACGATTTTAAAATAATGATTTAAAATTGCAGGCTGGTTTCGACAGTAGCATAAAATTTCGAAATTTAAATAAAATAGTCTCAAATTTTGCACGTTGTTAATGTATTTGTTTAATACATTGCTAATTTTCGATTGTTAATCTTTCTTAATTTGCATCAATCATGGGAAGTGTGATTTATCATCTGATTTTTTAGCAGGGGAGTGGGTGCCAAAATATCATACAAATAGATTACATTTATATACAGTATGTTTATACGCAACCGTAATAATTTGAGGGAGAGGGAAATTTTATTATTTACAACAAATCAGCTGATAAATGACACTTCCCTAATGAGGGGACGTCTAAAGCGGAGTAGATTCTGAGTACCCTAGCCATGGCAAAAAAAGTTCGGGTCATGTGACGATTTGCAGTAAATTAGCCAATAACGATTCCAATTTGGTGTAACGTAACACAACCTGGAAAATTCAAAACAAACGTTCGCTCTAAAGGAAATTAGAAGAAATCGCTTATTTCTCGACAAACTTCATAAGAAACAACCTTCTACGTACTAACAAAAAATTCCGGGAAGGTAATTTTACCTATAGCACTCTTTAACCCTAACATTGATCCGAACCCTAACCCTAATCTAAATAAGCTTAAAGATTTTTAAACTTCCCCAGCATCGCCACCAAATTACTAACAAAATTTTTCGATCACGTGAAAATTATCCAATAGTGGATCACACCTTGGTGTAACGTAGCACAATCAGAAAGATCAAAACAAACTTCGCTTTTTCAAAAATCATCAATAGCTTGAAAATTTACATAAGAAACAACCTTTTGTGCTCTAACAAAAAAAATTCCTTGAACAATTTTACTATAAAACCTTATAACCCTAACCTTGTTGTAGGCCCTAACCCTAACATTAACGAACTTAAAATTTTGTCTGGTATCATGTAATCGAAAAAAAATTGGTGGCAATGCTGGAAAATATAGATTTTTATCAGTTATCACGTGACCAAAACTTTTTTTGCCATGGCTAAGGCATCTGTAGATTCTTATATTACGTAATATTTTATTAAATTAACTTTGGGGTTATCTTAGGTCAAGAACAGAGTTTTAGATAGTTATATATAAAAATTGCCTTTCTAACATTTTTTACTTAACCTATTCTAGGTAGATTTAGACTCTTGTTTTGCTTTACTAGAGATTATCAAAATTCTAAAATTTGAATGGTTATATAGGGCTTATTAGTAAAAAAGAGATAAAAAGTTTTTAAGTAAAAATTTTTAAACTTCGAATTAAACACTGTTGATAGCTAACAAAATCGTTACAATAATTATTTTACTTTTATTTTATTAGCCAATAAAATTAAATTTCTGATTAAATATATAAATTGGATATATATGTACTAGAAGTTTGCAAACCAGATTTATGCATATACCAAAAAAAGGCAAAGCATAGGCATAAGCATAAAAATTCAGACATGAGCATGGGCATAGGCATAGGCACAAAAATTTAGCATATGTATAAGTATGAGCACAAAGATTTGGTATAGGCATGAACACAGGTACAAAAATTTAATATTTATTAATTAATTTTGCTTGGCACTTTGCCCAGCACTTGTGCTTAGTATTTTTTAACACCTTTTTGTCTAGCATATTGTGCTATGCTATAATAGTGCCTGGCATATTGTGCTTATACTTATAAAATACCTAGTATTTGTACTTATGCCTAAAATAATACCTAGTATTTTTGTATTTTAGGCATAAGCCTGGTATAAGGCACTAGTATATAGCCTAGTGTCAATATGTCTAGCATATCTACTTGTAAACCCCTTGTATATAGTATTTTTTTTTACTTAATAACACAATTTTCACAAATAAAAAAAATTGATTTATTTATTAATCTATTCTCTAAATTATTACAGTTAAACCTTTCTAAGTATACACTCTTAAGACCAGGCTATTATATACACTTAAAGAGAGTATATATTTTATAGAATTAGTATTTTTTCCTACTCTACTATAATAATTTACAGTATTTTGAGTCTTTTCAATAATTATACACATCTTTTGTATTTATTTATTATCTACCTTTTAGAATATCTAACAAAACTACTATTCTAATTAGTAGAATATCTGTACTAGTTACATGTATATATTTATAAAGAGTGTATTTATAGGTTTAGGCTATAAAAATCTATGTATATATAGAGGTTAGAACATATACTTAGCATTAAGTTTTAAGCTTGAAACTGGGCTATAATATACATTTAGAGAGGTTTTACTATATTACAAAATGTTTTTAAAACTTTATTAAGAATACAATATTGTAAAAGACTTCTAATTGAAATATACAATTATTATTTTTTTTTTATTCTTTGATGATCTTGCCAAAACTTATATACAGTATACAAATTAATCTCAAAAAAAAAATTATAGTTGAAAAACAATATATCTACAACTAAAAGCCCAACCTCACATAGTTATTTATTGGCACCTAAATATGACTATTGTACTAATTCACGGATAATTCAGATTATATACTAGCTCTTAAAGAACTAAAATATTAGGACTAATTTCTTTTCTAATTCTTTTTTCTTCTCAAGAGGCATAAGACAAAGAAGAAAAAAAAAGTTCTTTAACTAATACAACAAAACTATAAACAAAGAGTTTTGAGAAATTGATTTTGCAATTTGAAAGAGGTGTACCAGTATATTGTGTCAAATTCAAGAATAAATATATACAATTTTGAGTTGTAAAAGTTTCACCACTTTAAAAAGTTTTTGCTAATAGCTTTCTATAATGAAATACAATAATACTTTAGTTATTAGTTAATTTTATATTGTATAATTTATATTTAAAGTGTAATAAATACCTAAATTATATATATTTCTAAACTAAAAAAAATAAGATATAGTCTTTTCTTTAGTTAAAATTATAAAAATTATAATAATTATATTTACAAAGATAAAAAAAGTATAACAATAATTGTATATTTGGATCACTCAAACCAACTTTTTAAAACAAAAATATTAGAAAAGAAATTTTAGCTATATAAATATATCTAACT